AAATTTAATTAATGGTTGTACTTAAGTACTTTGTACGGCTTTAAGGGAAACAAATTTTGTAAAACTGTCTACAGATACTATCAAATAGGTGTTTTAAATAAGTAACAACCTGACGTCGTGCAGACTTTGGTATTATCCAGCGATCCTCCGAAACCGTATTTTTGTATACCTTGTTATCATTTATTTTATATTCGCTATGGATTTTTACTTAGAGCCTTCTACATGTGCCACTTTTGTGCCCTTTCGGTATTCAATATCAAAATCGAATTCCGTAGTCGTCAGCCACCATCTAGCAATTCGAGGAATTAAATCTCGTTTTATCAGTGTAGTACGTAGCGCATTACAGTCGGTTACTACCTTAAATTTAATGCCTATCAAATAAACTTTAAATTGTTTTTAATGTGTTTACTATTGCTAATTTACTCGTATGATGAATATCGTTTTTTCTCTTTCGTAATTTGACGACTAAAATAAAGTACCGGTTTTAAAGTGTCATTTTCCTGTCTTTGAAGTAAAATACCGCCAATTTTCGGAGCGTCTGTGTGCACTTCTGTTGGCTCCTTAGGGTTACATATAGCTAATAATGGTCTCATTATTAGTTTCTCTTTCAAAATCTGAAAAGCTTTGTCTTGTCCGACACCCCAATTAAATATGACATTTTTCTTAGTTAATGCAGTTAATGGTTGCGCTATAATCGCAAAGTCTTTTATATATTTTCTAAAATATGAAGTAAGTGTTAAAAATTGTCATAGGTACATTGTGAACATTAGCTGGCACAGGAAAATTTTGCACAGCGTGAATTTTGTTTATACCTAGTCTAACACCATCTTCACTAATTTCATGACCTAAATAAGTGATATTAGACATAAAAAAATTACATTTAGACAGTTTCAATGTTAGTCCAACATTTCTCAAAATTTTTAGAATTTCTGCTAGCACATTTAATCCATCTGTTATAGTTTGTGAAGACATCAAAATGTCGTCCATATATACTAACACAGAGGTATTTTTCAGATGACCTAAAGCTTTGTTTAAAGTTTTTGTAAATACTGCAGGTGAATTGGCTAATCCGAACGGAGCTCTAACATACTCAAAATGACCATCAGGAGTAACAAACGCGGTTTTGTGAATGGAACCGGCGTGCATAGCTATTTGGTGGTAACCTTGAGCCATATCTAAACTAGTAAAATAGTTACACCCCTCTAATTGTTCTAAATAATCATCTGCTCGTGGCATTGGATAACAGTCCCTAACAGTTTTTGCATTTAGCGCCCTATAATCTACGACCATCCTATAATCGCCAGTTTTCTTTTTAACTAACAGAATTGGACTGGCGTACGACGACTCTGATTCCTGTATTTTATTATTTTCCAATAAATCATTTACAATTTTTTTAACAATTTGTCGCTCAGAAATTGAAAGACGATATGGACGATAAACTACTGGTTTATCATCGATAAGCTTTATTGACATTTCAGTAAGTGAACATTTTCCTAGCTCATTGGTTTGTTCAGCAAAACAATCTCGATATTCATTTATTAGATCAAGTAACCTTTTTTTTTTAAATCGATAACCTGTTTATCTACCTGACTATTCAGTTGGGACATAGAGAAAATATTCAGCACCTGGCTGTAATATTCCTACATTTGGCAGTACTGATTTATTTATGTTTTCTGGATAACAGGGCAATCCCCTTACAATTAGTTGATTTCTACCTATATCAATAGAATTTAAGGAGAGATTTATAATTGTAATAATTCCATCCTTAGTAGAGGTAACGCATCTAGTAATAATCATTTCCTTACCTGGTTTTTCCCGCTGACTACTGTCTACAAATACATCACCTTCATACTGGTCCGGAGTGTAAACCTTAATGTACCCGATATGATTTGATGGAATTGAGAGATCCTTTTTGGAGAGAATTTCACTTTCGTTGGTGGCAATGCTTCCTTGTGGCAATGGGCACTCCTCTGCCTTGAATAGACGGATTTCATTTTACTTCACGACGAGCACCTTTCCATTTGAGTTTATGAATGACTGTCCTATGAGAACGGGAAACTCTTGATTATCGTCGTCCACAATATACACTTCCACCTCATCTTCTACTAAGTCAATTTCTAAACGCACGTTACATTTTCCAAGTACTTTAATTGATGCACCGTTATACCCTTTTAAGTACAGTTCACAAGAAATCAATTTCAGTTTCAACTTGTCTGCTTCCTTCTTACGTATTATTACCACTGCACATCCAGTATCCACGTATGCTTGTAGTTCACTCCCATTTAAAATACACTTTTTCAAATAACATGTTTTGTTTGTAGGGATACTTTTAGTTTATCGCACTTTTGTGGTTACCTTACACGTGTCCTTAGTATGTCCCAGCCGATTTTCCCCCACTTTTGGTACGCGTGTCCATTTTCCCCACAGTTGAAACAACGAAATTGTTTTTGTTCGTGTCCTTTATATGGATGATGTCTATGTTGTGCATGTCGTCGTCGATTTTCATATTTATTATGTACTGTAGATTCTCGACTGTCATCCACAGTAAGTGTTGATAGAAATTCAGCATATAGATGTTCTGGAGTTAAATATCTGCCCGCCTTGGCACCCGTCTGTATAGTCTGATTCTGGATACCATCTATAACACAGGAAACAGCTTCTTTGCCCTGAATATTACAATGAAAAATTAATTCCATTTTTTCAAAATAATATTTTTCCCACGGTTCATTGGGTAATTTCTTTCTGTTTAGCATTTTTCTTAACGATGAGGCATAATCATGATGTTCTGGAAAGGTCGACACTATAAGTTCTTTCCAATCTTCCCAAGAAAGATCATAGTTGTTGAGATTATTGAACCATGACCTAGCTAGTCCAGTTAATTTGGTCTGCATATGGTAAATAACTGTTTTCTCATCCCAGCTGTTTAATGATGCAAGCAGGTCTATCTTTTGTAGCCATTTGGTGGAGATGAGTCCAGGCTGTCCTGGCCGAAATTCCGGTATAGTATTTATGCCCAACACACTTTCTTGATTGCGTCTTGGGATTACACCTACGAGTCCTTGAATCACTTGTTCTAACCTCTTAATGCGGTCTTCTTGCGATTCACTTGTATTTCGCTGCAAATCCGGTGTATGGGAACGAGGTAAAACAGCCACTTCACTATCTCGTTCATTGCGTAAACGATCTGTTCTTTGTCGGCGATTGTCTTTATCACTTGATTTACTCATGTTTATTTTGTGATTAATTAAAATTACACACACTATAACTAAAGAGGGTTAAATTCAAATCCCACCGCTGCAGCTGTAAGAAAAACTGCAATATTCAATATTATTACAACGACTTTATTTTAGTTGACGAGTACACTTCGCTGGCTAGTTAAAATCTGATCTCTCTAAAACTTCCCTAAGCTATCCCTATCCCCTATCCCTTCCCTATCTGTATACATATATATCAAGTCAATTTATGAAGGGCTTTGAGTGTTTGTTTGTTTTCGTTGGCCCGACGGCGACGTTCCCTCGCCTGCGTTGCATGTCTGGGTGCTTACACCCTATATATTTTTATTTATTTTTACATAAAATGTTCCCTTTAGACAGACAAAATATATTTAAGAAAAAGACATACTTACCTATACAGGCTGTTACAAATTCGCTTGTCACTACAGGGATCTCAAAAACGGTGACAGGTACGAAGTAGATGGGGGCAAAGTTGTATAATCAGGAGACCAACATTATACCCCTAAAAATCAAAGCTAACATGATTAGTTTTCGAAATATTTGAAAAAACCGAAATTTTATAAATTGTTTCAATTCAGCCTTGTTTGAGGTGATATTGAAAAAAGAAGAACACTTTCTCATGGCCACTTTTTGCCCTCTATCGAGTGGCAGAATAAATTTTTATATGCAACGTTTCATCTCTCCAGGGCCATCATAATTTTTTTTAAATACGACCCTGAAAATTTTATTCCGTTTTTTGCAAGCCTTCATGACCCCCAATACTGTACTGTCTCAGCTCGAACCAGATTCAGACGTTTTGTCTCGAAAAATTCATCTTCAGTGTATTCGTTCCAAATTTATCAAATTTTTTTATTTAGATTTATTTGTTTATTGAATTATCGTACACTGTAGACCCTGTGAAATCCATCTAGTAATTTAAACTATTACCACCACACGTTACAATAAAACATTTATTATTAACTATTACCATCACTTGGTCATACATAACTCAATAAGTTGTTGCGTCAAAATTAAAACATTATTACAATTTTAATCTTATTATGACAAATTAATTCTTAAAAATGCATATAATATGAACAACCAAAATGCCAACTGAATATTATTCTTTAAAAAATTTCAGTAAATGTTCAAAAACATTTTCGTTTTGGCAAAGGTTGAAAATGAAGATCAGTGTAAAATTATCGGAATTTATAATATCCGTAACCGCTACTGTGAAAGATCATGTTAGATGTATTAGAAATGGCCATGGGAATAAAACTCCAATAATTTTTTATTTTAATGCTTGGTGGTAATAGTTTAAATAACTAGATGGATTTCACAGAGTCTAACGACACTTACAGTGTATGATAATTCAATAAACAAAGAAATTTAAATAAAAAATTTAGATACATTTGAAACGAATACACTGAAGATGAATTTTTCTGGCTGAAGCAATACAGTATTGGGGGTCATGAAGGCTTGCAAAAAAAGTAATAAAATTTTTTTCAAGACGTTATCACTAGTAAATCTCATATTATTTATATTTCACAAAGGTACATTGTAGCAAACTTTAAATTTCAGCAAGATTCATTTCATTAAACTTTTAATTCTAGCAATACAAGGAAATGAAATGTTACTTGATTGCACAATAAATTGTGTGTTATACATCTTTAGGTTTAGGTATACTTGAAAATGCTAAGATTTAATAATTAAGGATATTAATTTTTTTGCTAAAAAAAATATGAAGTCTTAAAAAAAACAAAACAATATTTAATAATTTTATTTCAGGTGAGGTACAAGATATCAATACCAATATGGATTGTAAAAAATATAATGCAATGGAACATTATCTACATACCATAAATCAAAGATATATAGCTCTTTCTGAAGAAGAGGAAATACGTAATAACGCAATACTGAGAGTTGTAAGTTTTTAATACTGTAATGTAGTATGAATGTACCTGTTATCTTCAAAACAAATTTGATTTCCGTTATTCAAACATTTTATCATCAAATTTATTCCTGAAAAACCAGTAATTGTACAATAATCAACTTTATAAAACCAAAGCGTTATCCAAAGCCCATTTAGTTATTTAACGAATATGTTACATATTACAGACTGTGGTAAATGTTTTAATCAAGGAACTTCACCAGGTGATAGAATAAATTATTTTAAGCAAAAAATTGTTGCAATTAAATCAAATTTTATATAATATCTGAGGATTTTTTATGTAAACTGATGAAACTTGGGCCACTGATTTGTCGAAATATGGGTATGAATTTGTTGACTTATAAATTAATACCACTTTAGAATTTCAATGAGTATTTTGCGAATACCATTTTAGAATTTGTCATTACAGTTACAATACAATCATTAGAAATAAGATCTTTTCCGTTATGTCTGAGGAACGTGCCGTTCGAGAGTACTGATTTTTAACTTACCATACAATTAATTATATCAAGAATGACTAAAAAACCGTGTGTTTCAAAAAAACAATTCATAAAAATTGAAAAAAAAATACAATTTTAAAAAGAAATGTTTACATCTTTCTATAGGAAACTATTGAGAAATAAAAAATTTCTACACAAATTATTTTCTGAACATTTGGTATGTTGTATTTAAAATTTTATTTCTAACAAAATATTCTCACAAACCTACCAAACCGCTCATTTAATAAAAATAGTTGTCATTATTGTCCGAAAGAGGAAAAGTTATGAGCAGATATTATCACCACACATCAATTTTCTAGGAGTTGTGAGTTTTAAAAAACACTCTGTATAACATCAAAATTTGTAGATTGAAAGCAAAAGTGCACACACCAAAAATAATCAAAATTAATTGACACATACAGGCTGTTACAAATTCCCTTCTCATTACAGGGATGGATCTGGAAAACGGTAGGAGATACAAACTTGCTTAAATGGGGGCAAAGTTGCGTGATCAGGGGACCAACATTATGCCTCTAAAAAATCAAGGCTAATATGATTAGTTTTCGAAATATTAAAAAAAAAACGAAAGGACCACGCAATTTCCTTATGGAAAATGGACTTCCGTTAAATTGGTTGGAATTTTGATATGTTATGTATTTTGTCCTTCTGATCAAATGTCTCAGTGGGCAGAAACTCCTATCACTTCAGGATTTTAAGATACAGCTGGCTGAAATTGGAACTATTCTGCACTGGAGATGCGTTCATATGGGTCAAATATGTACCATTTTTTAAGTTGTAGGTGTTCAGCGAGGTTTGAAAACACCTCGCAAACTTCGTTAGCAATTAATTGTAGTTCATTATCATACTCCCGATAGGTATATATGTCATATGACGTCATGACATGTCATTACGCGTCATAAAATTGTAGTTCATTATCATACTCCCGATAGGTATATATGTCATATGACGCCATGAGATGTCATTATGCGTCATAAAACGTTAAAATTCAAAGTACTTTTATTTCTGTTACTGGACGCCTCATATTGTTTTGTAATCTAATAAGCAGCATTAACGGTCTCATCCTGTCATGCATCGTAAAGTCATTGCAGGTAAGTTTTGGTCATCCAATGTCATATGACGTCATCTCATGTCGCACAAGGTAATAGTTCCTTTTGAATAAATCAGGTTTTACTGTAAGTTAATCTCTGAACATGTTGTATGGATTCGTAAGCAAATAATTGAAACATATTATCAAATGGCTAATGCGTAGCTGTGTCATATGACGTCATGACATGTCATTAAGCGTCATAAAATGTCAAAGTACTTTTCTGTCTCTTATCGGACGCCTCTCATTGTTTTATTATCTTATAAGCAGCATTGACGGTCTCAGACTGTCATCGTGACTTCATTGCATATAAGTTCTGGGCATCCAATGTTATATGACGTCATTAGAGAAAAGTAATTATTTTGATAAAATCACAGTTTTGTGTGAATTGAATATATAATCATCACATATCATTTTGTAACCAATCGATTGAAATATATTATCATATTATATCTCATTAATTGTTTTCGTTATTGTTTATTATTATTCGTTATTGTTTTAGTATATTGTTTTCTTCAATTTGAGTTTTCTTCAATATAAAATCTGTTTGTTGGTAACTTCAATTATTTGCTTACGAATCGATACATGTTCAGAGATTAACTTACAGTAAAACCTGATTTACTTAAAAGGAACTATTACCTTGTGTGACATGAGATGACGTCATATGACATTCGTTCCAAATTTATCAACTTTTTTTATTTAGATTTCTTTGTTTATTGAATTATCGTACACTGTGAAATCCATCTAGTTATTTAAACTATTACCACCAAGCATTAAAATAAAAAATTATTGGAGTTTTATTCCCATGGCCATTTCTAGGCTTCTCGAGTGCTCAAAATTCAAACAGATTCCGATCTATTTTTTTCAGGATATTCATACAAATACATCTAACATGATCTTTCACAGTAGCGGTTACAGATATTATAAATTACGATAATTTTACGCTGATCTTCATTTTTGCCAGAACGAAAGTGTTTTTGAACATTTACTGAAATTAAAATTAAAATTGTTATAAAGTATTAATTTTGACGCAACAACTTATTGAGTTATGTATGACCAAATGATGGTAATAGTTAATAATAATAAATATTTTATTGTAATGCGTGATGGTAATAGTTTAAATTTAAAATAACTAGATGGATTTCACAGGGTCTAACGACACTTACAGTGTACGATAATTCAATAAACAAGGAAATCTAAATAAAAAATTTAGATAAATTTGGTACAAATACACTATTTTTCGAGACAAAACGTCTTAATCTGGTTCGGGTTGAGGCAGTACAGTATTGGGGGTCATAAGGGCTTGCAAAAAACGGAATAAAATTTCTAGGGTCGTATTTAAAAAAATGAAGTTGATGATGGTCGTGGAAAGACAAAACGGTACATATAAAAATTGATTATGCCATTCGATAGAGGGCAAAAAGTGGCCATGAGAAACTGTTCTTCTTTTTTTCCATATTACCTCAAATAATATTGAAATGAAACAAAAACGGATTTCCAAAATTTCGTTTTTTTTTTAATATTTCGAAAACTAATCATGATAGCCTTGATTTTTTAGAGGCATAATGTTGGTCCCCTAATTACGCAACTCTGCCCCCATTTAAGCTACTTTGTACCTGTTACCGTTTTCGAGATCCCTGTAGTGAGAAGCGAATTTGTAACAGCCTGTATACAATTATTTACAAAATTCACGAACATTGAGGCCATCTAGAGGCCAAAATCGCATCGATTTTCGATATAGGTGAATTAGCCTAAATCTGCTTATTTTGAGCACGAATCTGTGGTCTTCCGTTGTACACGTTATTCTGGCACACCCTGTATACACCAATATACCATTTTTTAAAGTCCTGTTTTCTAAAAATCACATTTATGTTGGTTTTATTTGAAGTTATGTACGGAATATTGGTAAGTTCTAAAAGAAAATTAAATACATTTCTGTAACCTTACATGTATTTTAATTTTAGGTTGTGGAACCTATAATCCAGAAAATGCGAGAAAAAGACAAACTTTTTAAAAAGCTCTATAAAGACATGTTTTTTGGAGGCAGTTATTACGATGGTTTAAAAATTGGATCTCCAAATGAGTATGATCTAGACCTGTTATTAAAATTTCCTCCACCATGTGAAACTGAAATTTGCAATATAAATGAAGTTGACATATATACTAGTAACAAACCGGGTTTTGTGAATCTATATTTGCGTAACAGGAAGTAAGTTTGGGTAGAGTGTACATGGTATCTTAGAATGACCACACACTGCTAATAAAAAAAAATAAGGTCAATTTTCCTATATACAAAAGCCAATGTCCATTGAATTCTGAATGTAGCACCACAAAAAAAAACAATTTTAGAGATCTTTAATTACTTCAGTGTAATATATTACTATGTAAGGAAATTATATACAGGGTTTTTCAGGATTAAATCGACAAACTTTAAGGAGATATTCCTCATAAAAAAATAAGAAAAAAGTCGAGTATAAATTTTTTTCCAAAGACGCCTCATTTTCGAAATATCGGCATTAAAGATTTTTTTAAAAATTCGAATTTTTTAAATAATTTCTAAATGATTTTTCATTGCTATTTAAGCCAAATTTGGCGTGACACGTCTTCTTATAGGATACCATTTTTCCATAGAAGTAGAAGTCACGCAAGCAACAGTTTGATATTAACCAAAAGTGTACATTCACTTTTTTCCTAACTCTTATAGTTTCATTCTGTCGATAAACTTTAAAATGAACCTCAACAAAAATTTTCTAGTAGGCTGTTGTCAAGCAATTTTAATTTGACGTTTTAAATGTTATTTTGAGAATTGTTGCACAAATTATCCATGAGATAAAGCGTTCAAACTAATAATAAAAATAAGTTTAATAATGCCGTCCATATTTTCGAACAATGAATATGCTGATATGGTCTTTGTATATGGTTTTTGTGATGGAAATGCCACGGCGGCTCGCCGTGAATATGCAGTAAGATTTCCTTATCGCAGACTACCAGCAAAGGAAACATTTTCAACGACATTTATTCGTCTCAGACAAACTGGGTCTTTCGGTATTTCAACTTATGCTGATGGACATTTTGCCTCACTTCAGGACGAAGTAAGATCGAATACTATTTTAAACCATTTCGATGAAAATCCATCCACGAGTGTCAGAAGATCTAGCTATGAGCTAGGAATTTCGTCAAGTTCCATTTGGAGCACTCTTCGGGCTGATGGACGCCATGCGTACCATATCCAGCGTGTGCAACATTTATTGCCTCAGTACATACGATGTAGGCGCGTGTTTTGTGACTGGATGTTAAACCAAGCAGAGAATGATGATTTGTTTACGCAAAAAGTAATGTGGACAGATGAGGCAACATTTACTCGAAGGGGAATTTTAAACCAAAGGAACAACCGTATTTGGTCCTACGAGAATCCACAAGCGGTAAGAGAACATAGGGAACACTATAGTTGATCCGTACTTCCTTCCGCATCGGTTAAATGCTGACCTGTTTACCGAGTTCCTTGAAAATGGTTTTCAAGATCTGTTAGAAGATGTTCCGCTTAATACTCGAATGAACAGTTGGTTTCAACTAGATGGTTGTCCTGCCATTTTGGTAGAGGTCCTAGGGAGTGGTTAAACATTAATTATCCCAGAAGATGGATTGGTCGTGGAGGACCTGCAGCGTGGCCCGCACGTACACCGGACTTGACACCGATGGATTATTTCGTTTGGGGTGGTGTTAAACAAAAAGTCTACAAGGTGCCAGTTGATACCCTAGAAGATCGAAGACAGCGAATAGTCCAAGCGTGTCGAGAATTAACTCCAATTCAGTGTCGATCGGCCACTACCTCCATAATTAGAAGATGTCGTGCTTGTCTACAGTCCGGAGGCGCCCATTTTGAACAAAATATTTTTTAAATCATTTCAATTTTGATTCACTTTTCGCTTTGTCTAGGTATAATATTAATTGGTAATTTTTTGGTTGTTTCAATTTTCAAATAAATTTTCATGTATTGTTTGCCATCTTATTTTATTTAAAAGTACACAACACAAGTAAATGAAGTGACTGCAAACCGCCTGAAAAAATTTAGGGTCGTTACGTTGTCGCATTACGACATAATCACATTAGATGTTAGGTACTTAAATATTTTTTAAAAAATACACTATATCTCAAAAACGAAGCATCTCCTAAATAATTTTAGTACTATTGGTTAAACCCAAGGGAAGGGGAGGCAAAAAGGCTTATTTGACTCACACATACTCGAGACTAAGACCAATTTTAATAGGTACTATATTTTTTTAGGTTTTATGAAGGTCTTCCTAAAGTTTATCGACAGAATCCAGAAGCACTCTTCCGAAAAATCAATTTTGCCATGAAACTATAAGAGTTAGGAAAAAAGTGAATGTACACTCTATGTCAATAACAAACTATTCTATCTAAAAACAGCATCATTTTTTATTTTCAGCAGGGCCGTTTTTATAATTTAATGAGTCCCCGTAACTCCGCCACTGGTTGCTTGCGGGACTTCTACTTCTATGGAAAAATGGTATCTTATAAGATGTGTCATGCCAAATTTGGCTTAAATAGCCTTCTTCATTTATAAGTTATTTAAAAAATTCGAATTTTTTTAAGAATCTTTCAATGCCCTATATTTCGAAAATGAAGCGTCTCTAGAAAATAATTTATACTTGATTTTTTCTTATTTTTTTATGAGAAATATTTCCTTAAAGTTTTTCGACTTAATCCTGAAACATCCTGTATGTATAAATATGACGAAATTTTTTAAGGATCTCCACCCCTTTAGACATTCGATTCGAGGATTTCATTTTTATCTACACATGAAAATAAAAAAAAAGTTTATGTGAATTTCAAATAAAACGAATATTGGGACAATTTATAAACAGCCGTAATACACTAATGAAATATTTATTTTTTATATTTATATTTATTTTATTAATTATTACAACCAAACATAAAAATGAAATTATAAAACAGTGTATTTCAATTAGAGGATTTGATCCCGGGACCCGATTGTCAGGATCCCGGGATCCCGACCACTTTTCGGTCCCCAAATTTTCGGGATTAAATTTTGCTGATCCCAAAATTTTCAGGATTGTCATCAATTTAAAAAAGTTGCAAAGCGTAAAGCAAAATGCTCAGCGCTAGTGCTCTCAACAAAATTGCTTGCCTATCATTTTAATATAAAATAAAGGTTCATCCCAAGCAAGCAGCATAAATTAATCCAGCGGGCTTGCGATACTTGGATTAAAACTTCTTGTATTTTAAACTAAAATGATAGACAAGCAATTTTTACTGGGTTACTTGGTGATATACTTCATTGTTGTATTCTTGAAATTTCGCGGTTGCCAATCGATTTTCTGCCGCAGTCAATATTATTTTTTAATAATTTTTGCTAAGAAACCTACTTTACTACCTACTTACTTGGTTATTACATGAAAGTCGTCTATTTAGTTGATGTTAAGAGAGATTTTTGTTAATTTTCAATATTTATTTGCATAATTTGTTTCATAAAGGTTTTTTTTTCAATTTATTAAGTCTCATTTATTCTGATAAAAAAGAATAACTTTAACATTAAGACTGAGTGATTTTAAGTCTGGTTAGTCTGACTCCAAGTCTGATTAGTTAGAGTGATAGACTCTGATGAACCGATCGAGTTGCGGTTTTCGGCATTGTTTTCGGAAAAATATCAGGAAAAAAGTCTATCTATTACACTTTGGGGCTGGATCGAAACTGCATTGCGGGTGCATAAAGTGCATCTTGGAGTGCATCAATTTTTCGGAATTTTCTAAAAATGGTAAAAATTGACTAAAAGTTGTAGAAATTTGTGTGCACGGGTTTTCGGGGTCGGGGATTCCGATTCTGACACTGAAAAGTATGCCCGACGCGCCTGAGGCCCCCCCCGGGGTGGCAAGGGGGACCTTCTGTAAAACATCGAATAGCTGAGTAATTGCCTTCTAAATTTCCACCGGGGATTTTTGGGGTCGGGGATTCCGATTCTGACACTGAAACGTATGCGCGACGTCCCTGGGGCCTTCTGTAAAACATCGAATAGCATAGTTTCGATCCAGCCCCAAAGTGTAATAGATAGACTTCTTTCCTGGTATTTTTCCGAAGACAATGCCGAAAACCGCAACTTGATGGGTTCATCAGAAAAAAATTTCGTATTCTGGGTGATTTTGGTCTAACTTGCCTGGACTATGATTAGATTAGCTAGGTGTATACCGTAAAATACGTTGATTTTTGTCTAAATTTTCATTACGTTGATTTTAGTCTGAATTTTGATTACGTTGATTTTTGTCTAAATGTTGATTTGCTGATTAAAGAGCTGATTTCTGTAAGATTTTCGTATTTTTTATTTGCAACCCTAATACCGAAATAATCCTGGGATCTCGGGATTGACTAAATATAATCCTGAAATCCCAGGATTAGAAAGAAGGACCAGGATGGAATTCCCTAATTTCAATATATGTAATACAAAATTCTCTTTTATTCCAGATTTATAACATATCAATATTTCACAAAGGACAAAATATCTTTATGAAAACATAATTTTGTCTTACAAAACATAAATCAGACAGCCATAACAAAATATAACACCCTGCATGTTATTTTCTGAATTATCCTAGTAATGTAATTCGAATAAATAAAACTATATCAAGTAAGAAGTCTTTTGCTGGAGATTTAGAGTAATATTAACAAATGTTGTTTCATGTACACTCTGTAGTTAGTAGTGTCCCGATCCCAATCTGTCCGAGACGCACATTTATTAACAAATAATTAGTTTTTAGCTAATTTAATTTAGTCAAGTTCTCATTAATTTTTCTTAATACAGCAATAATTTGTGAAGAAAAAATTTAAGTTTGCATAATTTGAAACGGATTAGTAAATCCTTTTGTCATTGTTTGCTATTAATATCATAAATAAAGAGCGTTCATAAATGTTTACAAGGCCTCGTGACCGCCGAGCTTTGGCAACCAACATTGCAAGGTTGGTACTGGTAAGGAAAATGTGATCTCTGATTAGTTGACTAGAATTGCGTGAAAAATTATACCAATCACAGCCTGATATTGTTTCAATAATTTTTAATTTTAGTGAAATTTAATTGTCAACAAGAAGGAAATAAAATTACTATTCCAAACAAAATTACTGATCACGTGGCTTGTAATCATTTATGAAGACTGTATACCATCTAGTGCATTGGGTAATAAATGAAAAAATGGTATTTTAGTGGTTTTGGAAATTTGTGTGAATTCTGGCAAGCCTATCTAGATATCCCTAAACTATTATCTTGGATGGAAGGAGTCATTCAAAAGGCTTTAAACGATTTCAGTGAAGACAGATCCTGGTACATTTTTCAGAATTTATACAGTCAAAAGTACTATGTAAGATCATAAATATATTATCATATAAACTTCTACTTATGAAATAAGCTTTTAAAAGTTTTATTAGGCCTATGTTGGACTATCAAATTCATCAAATTTGTTCTATCAAAACATTTTGACATCATTTTGATGTCGTAATGAATTATTTATTACTCGTGCGGGATAAGTCGTATCTTTTCGTTTGTTTTTTAGGTCGGTAAATAGCTGTTTGCCTACTCTATTTATTTGCATGCGGTAATCACACTTTTGACCTGTTTTATTGTCAATTCGCGTGCGACACGTATGATTACCGCACGCAAACGAATAGAGTAGGCAAACAGCTATTTACCGACTTAAAAAACAAGCGGAAAGATTGGACTTCTCCCTCATGAGTAATAAAAATTTGAATACAGTCGGAAGTATTATTTTTAAAAAGTGACATTTAAATGACGGTTGATCGTTATTTATGTCATCCTAAACTGAATAAAAATCTGAAATTAAATAATAAATTAAATTCTGTGAAAAATTATTAGAAGTCCTACAATTGTACCAGAAAGTGATCCAGATATACAGCGTGTCCCACTAGTGCGGGAACGTCCATTATCTATGTTAAAATGAGGAATATATGGATTTTTCTTTTCACTGTGTTGCCACATTTCTCGGAATGTACAAATTAAATATATATTCAAATATACAGGGTGTTCCACTTTTCCTGGCCAGACACCAACTTTGGTTTTTTAAATGGAAACACATTTTTTATATTTTTTTCGGATTCTACATCAAAAATAAAGGGTACTTTGTGTAGAATAGTTCTATTCAAATATTCACAGTTTTTGAGATATGTCACTTGAAAGGTTTTTCTAGTCGATATTGGCTGCTTACAGTTTCTGATACTGACAGGTTATACTAATAGCTACTAAGCCCATTTTTTTTATCAGATGTTTAGTAAGGATGACTCTTCCGAATCATGCTCATGGCCTACGTTATACAAGGTTACAAAAATATCATGTCAAAATTGCCAATTGAAAAATTGAAAAATCTCGAATTTTTTAAATGCAACACCCTGTATATTTTCATACCATGAGATGCAGAATTAAATTCTCTACAACTTTGCTATACTTGCTCCTATACCAAAATTCATTAGTTTTTCGTAAAATATCATTTCTATGAAAAAATGCGAAGTTTACAAATAGCTTATAATGTAAAATAACATAGTAGGCCAAAGGATAATCTAGAAAATTTTCGATTCACATAAACGACAGTAATAATTGTGAACCTGTCTTTTCTTGATTTTTTTTTATAGGGCTATATAAAAGACAGGGTATATGAAACTCCTCCGACAGATGTAGAAGATTTACGGGCAAAATTAAGAAATGCTTTTTTGACCGTAACTCCGGAAATGCTGCGAAATGTGTCAAGCAATTTTCGTCGTAGAATTGCTCAATGTCTAGAGAAAAATGGCAGACATTTTGAGCGGTTACCTGTTAATTACTAATTTAACTAGGTCTTTATTACTTTTGTTAGAAATACACGATGTTAATTTACTGCTTTGGATACTGCATGCGTGTTCTTGTCTTCTCATAATTTGCATTTGTTGTTCTTTCAAACCTCTCCTTCAGTTTTACAAAACACTTTGTACGAGGATATTTTTGTAAATCTGGATAAATACTTGTCAATAAACAGTTACCATGAGTTTTACTAATTATTCTATTATTTATTTACTAATTCTTCTTTAGAGTAATTCATTTCACAATTATTACTCTCACTTTTCTATTAGACCTTATGTGAATCGAACATTTTCCAGATTATACTTTGACAGGAGCCTACTACGTTATTTTACATATAAGCTATTTGTAAACTTCGCATTTTTTCATAGAAATGAGATTTTACGAAAAACTAATGAATTTTGGTATAGGAGCAAGTATAGCAAAGTTGTAGAGAATTTAATTCTGCATCTCATGGTATCAAAATATACAGGGCGTTGCATTTAAAAAAATCGAGATTTTTCAATTTTTCAATTGGCAATTTTGACATGATATTTTTGTAACCCTGTATAACGTAGGCCATGAGCATGATTCGGAAGAGTCATACTTAATAAACATCTGATAAAAAAATGGGCTTAGTAGCTATTAGTATAACCTGTCAGTATAAGAAACTGTAAGCAGCCAATATCGACTACAAAAACCTTTCAAGTGACATATCTCAAAAACTGTGAATATTTGAATAGAACTATTCTACACAAAGTACCCTTTAATTTTGATGTAGAATCCATAAAAAAATATAAAAAATGTGTTTCCATTTAAAAAATCAAAGTTGGTGTCTGTCCAGGAAAAGTGGAACACCCTGTATAGTTGAATATATTTTTAATTTGTACATTCCGAGAAATGTGGCAACAAAGTAAAAAGAAAAATCCATATATTCCTCATTTTAACATAGATATTGGACTTTCCCTCACTAGTGAGACACACTGTAGATAAATCTGTAACAAAAAATAGTATGTGCAATTCGTGCGGTTGTCTATTGCCCACTTGAGCGGATGAGCGCACTCATCACTTTATTCGTGAACTGAACTCCGCTCTCGTGAGCAATAGACAACTTTACCGCACTTATTGCACAATATACTATAATAAAACTATTCTGCCTTTGTCAAACTAACCAAAGTTTTTTATACAAATTAAGAGTTGCACACTGTTTTCTCATGCATTGTCTGCAAAATTGCAACACCTTTACAAAGCCGATGTGATCTTGCTGACAATGTACTATGTCTTACATAATAAAAAATTATACAATATATTCTTGATTTTCATACAATACGAGTTGCTCTCTATTATAACAATCTGCTACCAGCTGACGTTTTAAAATTTATTTTTCATTTCAAATTTAAATTTAGCCATTGGTCTTATTTTGTCGAATAATTTTAGAGAAACAACAGGTTATAAAATTTCACAAATTTAATTAACCATTTTAAAATAATTTGATAGTGAGTCCATTTTCAGAAAAACTTAAATTGTAATTTAACGGCGTGAGCAAACTATTTTGATCAAACGAATTTGATAGTCTAACATGTAGTTTATACTGAGTTAAACATTTTTCAGTCGATTGCCGACAATTTGCATTACAGGGTGTTTCAGTTCGAGTGCATCAAACTTTAACCACAAATAGAACTCAATAAATAATTCAGAATTGCCTTATACAGCATAAGTCTCACCGTTTTCACTATACAGGGCTGTATTGTTCGGTTTTTAAAATCATATTATTTATGAAATCTTTGTTATGCTTAACACGAATTGATTCAAATTTGGTGTGGTGTTGACATTTACATATGTACATAATTTACAGTAAAATTTACAAATTTTTGTATGTCGGTGGCGTAGGAATGGGTTGTAAAGCGGGATTTTCTTACCTTAACTTCTACGCCAATGACCTAATAATCATTTGGGATTCATTTTTAGATTCCCTGGATAATTCTACATAAAAAAGGTATACTTGTTGAAAATCGGTATAGTGTATCGTTTTACTGAAAATCTCAGTTGAATGGGAGACCGTTCTTCTGATAAGAAATTTAGTTTCTTAAGAATAGGAAATAAATTTTAAATTAATATTATTATAATTTCACGTGTTACCTTAGAATTCAAAACAATATTAAATAATGTGTCTACATCGGCAAAATGACTAGTAAATTTTAAATATAATCCCTTGTGTATTATTTTTTGCATTCGTAATATGGTGAATTCCTTCTCTGAGCTCATTTTTTTGTTGCGCTACAGTGCGGTAGACAGCATGTTCAATGGCACCTCCTTTAAAATTTCATTTGTGTCATTTTGAAGCAATTGTAGGTATCCTTGCTCATTCAACGATCCGTTTGTTTCAAGCAGATGTAATTCCTTCAAAAAATTACACCTACATACTAATTTTAAATCTGCGCTGTGCGTCGATTACAGTATCCGCACAAAATGATTGCCATGAATAAACAACTAAGCAATAATAGACTTATCTGTCATCAGGAATTGTCATTTTGTTCTTAAGATTTAAAATATTTTTTAGTGTTTGCAAAAAAATTGATGAATATCCAAGAATTTCTTGTCATTCAACTGAGATTTTCGGTAAAATGATACCCTATACCGATTTTCAACAAGTATATCTTTTTTATGTAAAACTGTCCGCGGAATATAAAATGATTCCCAAATGATTATTAGGTCATTGGCGTAGAAGTTGGTGTAAAAAAATCCCGCTTTACTACCCATTCCTACGCCACTGACCTACAAAAATGTGTAATATAAATCATGCACACACCAAATTTGAATCAATTTGTTATAAGTATAGCAAAGATTTCATAAATAATATGATTTTAAAAACCGACCAATACGGCCCTGTACAGTGAAAACGGTGAGACTTAAGACCCTTGCTGTATAAGGCAATTCTGAATTATTTATTATTTATTTGTGGTTAAAGTTTGATTCACTCGAACTGAAACACCCTGTATAGACGAGGGTCATCCAGAAAGTAAAGAATCACAATTACATCATGCATCCCAGGTTGGGTGAAAGTCCAACCAATGACATCCTGGCTCAGATCTTTGGCGGTAGACGGGTATAACATCGGCATTGAATAATGAAATGCTTTGACTTTGTTTCTAGTTAGTTATGCCAAATTGTTTACTTTCTGGACGACTCATATTTTAATTGAGTTTCATTTCAAAAAATATCTTATGAATTGATATTTGGTTAAGATTTTAGTATTTTTTAGGTAAAGGTTTATAAACAAGGTCCAGCGTTCACTCTGATTATAAGAGGGGAAAATCTTGGTCAACTAGTAAACTTGAGCATAGATTTAGTACCCTGTTTTTCATTTGATTACAGTAGATGGCCAAAGAATGGATTTAAACCAAATCCATTCAGCTACAACACTGATATGGTTAGTACCCCTCTAGAACCTATATTCTATTTTTTTATCAAGTCGTAGAAAACACTTATACAAGGTGTGTTATTAAGAATTGTACACAGCTTAATCCCTTAATCAAAATTGCTCCTTTTCAGTCTACAGATAGAGATACAGAAAACAAAAAAAAATTATGTAAATATTTAATTTTTAGTCCGATTTCTTTGTTGTACCAAAATATCCAAAAGGAGTTCCAAATTATGGAGGTAGATACTGGCGATTATCTTTTCAAAAACAGGAGAGGTATCTAATACATAACAAGGGCCGTCTAAAGCCTGCATTAAAATTGCTAAAGGTATGCATTAATTTTTAAATTCGTAGCATTAACATTGTTTTGTTTGCCTTTCTGTGTTTCAAAAGTTTTAATATTTTTTTAAATTTCACATATTCGATCATTTCTATATGGGGTACCTACGAATATAATATAATTATTTTAAATAATAATAAATAATATAAAATATTTAAATGAAAGTAATAACAATCTCAAAACTATTTTATTAAAGAAAAATGTTGGTAACAGAATAAAGGATAAACTTTTAACTTAAATATTACTAGGTAATGATATGTCAATGACTAGTTTGTTAATAAAAAACATTAAGATTCGCCGTTCAGAATAGTTCGGCCGCTTCATCAAAATTGTGTTACATTAGCTTTATTAAGAATAACAGCTTTAATTCTGGCAAGCAATGCATCTACCACCTAAGCGCACTCTTCAGGCAGCATGCTGCCTACATTTCTTGTAATTTGGTGCGTAGTCGTTAACTGAACTGGATGACTGGATGTTTGCGTAACTGTTTCTTCATTTTATGCCACAATGTTTCTATTGGCAGGTCTCGACTGCTAGAGGGTTATTCCATAACAGGAACATTATGTTTCTTTTACCAATATTTGTCTTTAATAAAATAGTTTTGAGAGTGTTAGTACTTTTATTTAAAAATATTGTAAAATTATGCCTGACCGAACTTATGAGCCTGGGCTCGTATGTCAGCTACAATTTTGATACAAATCGTTTCGAATATAGAAAGTATACAAATCTCTGTAGTTCTAAGTTTTCCTGGGATTGGAAACATATTAAAAATATTGCATAAACCGAACACCCATTTGTATAACTTTATAATTGGTATGCTACTTAATGCAACTGACGTGTTTCTAAATAAATGAAAAAATAATAACTTAAGTCGCATGAACCTAGTGTTCCTGAAGCATTTATATTTCAGTCTTCGATACAAAAAAAAAACTCAAATCACTTTAAAATATAGCAAATATAGTAAAAGTAATATTTAAATATTTAGTTATAGATATTAACACTTTTAAAGTACTATACATCAAGTATCAAGTGTTATCCTCAATATCTTTTTGATGCCAGTAGTGAGAAAATTCTATTAATGATGATATTATTAAAACATGTTTAATACTTAATATTTTATTAGTGAAAAATGTTTTATAGGACATTTGGCTTTCAATTAAGTCTTAAAACTTTTGAAGAATCCAAGCTTCAAAAAGAAAAAAACAAAATATATAATTTAAATTTAATCATAAACACGATAACTTGAATAAAAGATATTTGCCCTGATACTTACCAAGTAAAATCTTTCCAATTTAAATGTTTTATTTTTCATTTATTAGGATTAGGATTTAGAGACATTACTGACTAGTTTATTTTCAAAGGCAACAAAGAGGCTCATATCATACAACTTGTTGACTGCGCCATTATGTTTATAAAGCATATAATTAATAATTATGGTCTATTGGTGTTTAATTGATACCAATGTAAGATAATAATAGGCATCTTTGAAGTTTTTGAGGTTGATATCAAAAAAGGGATAAAAAAATAAGTTGGAAATAATATGGAATATTAAAGATTTACAAATGCATACATTTAATTTATTTTCAGAAAATGAGAGATACAATGAACAGTAATCAAATATCTAGTTATTATTTAAAAACTGTGGTTTTATGGGATGCCGAAAAACAAGATCCAAATTTTTGGCTTTGTAATTCGTTGAGTTATGTCTTTATGTATGTAAGTATTACTGAAAAATGAATAGTACCTAACTATAGTATATTACGTAATAAGTGTTGTAAAAAGCATTTACGCACGAATGGAAAAGTTACGCACGACGCCGCGTAGCGGCGAGTGCGTAATTCTATGAGTGCGTAATTGCATTACACCACGTATTACGTACTATACTTTACCTACGCCCACTACTTTAAATACTTAAAAACACACCGTCTGCGATCAATGCAAGATTCCTATTACGTCGTACGGTAAAAAAATCGCACAGCTTGGTAAAAAAATCGTACAGTTTTCCTAGCAACCGCCTAGCGACGGTCAATACAAACAGTATTGTATTGACCGTTGCTAGGAAAACTGTGCGATTTTTTCACCGTACGTAATAGGAATCTTACATTGATCGCAGATGGTGTGTTTTTAAGTATTTACAGTAGTGGTCGTAGGTAAAAATTATTACAAAACTAATATGTAATGTGAAAGAAAATATAAATTTATCTATAAATTTTAGTGGCAGTCGGTAAAGATTAAATTATTCTGATAATGAAATATGGAATCTATACCGTTTTTAAGGGATGATTTCTAGCTCCACTTTTAAAATTTTTACGTTTTGAAAAAATTTCGAATGAAATTAGCCAAGTTAAAAATCGAAAAGAGAATCATAAGAATTAAGTTTCAAAATTTTGACAATGCTTTTCTCTCATTAAAAGCAACAAATAATAATATCTAAGTAACCTGTGCAAATGCTCTATGGAATGATTACCTTAAAATTTTTTGCTATCCTAAATATTAAATAGTACCACTAATTATAGTAAACTCCAGAATTCTTCGAAGCGAGGACGCATAAATCACAATTTTACTGTTCATCGGTCGATATTATCACTGTCTTTAAATCACTCTGATAATTTGACGGTAATCGAATGGCGTTTATATAAAGGGTTTTTTGGCGAGCCAAACCACATCAAACCCGGTTAGCTCGAGTTTGATTGTGTTAAGAGTTTGAGTTAACATTTGACAGAACTCGCAAAAATTCTTTTGGTTTGGATATCTAATCAATAATAAAATCGTAACCTATAATCTATGATAGTGCTCGTAGCTCAAGTTGTTTGATTATTTCTTATATACTATAGTTTTTATTCCTAATCTGAAATGCACATCTATGAAAGAACGTTAATGTATGGATGGTTATTAAATCAAAATGGGTTTACCTTGTTCACAAATATTATCTATTCCTACGCAAATGTATCGTCTAAAAGGAAGTTAAAGATCTATACAGTAAAATATAGAAAATGCATATCTACCATCTTATAAACGATTAAAGTTATTTGGATCTTCGATTACTATTTTTTTATTATCAATTTTAAATATTACTTTGTATTTTTTGCAAAGTGAATCCTTTACCAAATTTTTTTATTTTCAACATACCTATCCAAACCTCTAAAGAAACGAAGTAGTGACTAAGTATGATGGTACGAAACAGAAAATAAATAAACAAAGATAGAAATATTAACTTAAGATCCAAACCAACCCACAAGTCCGGTTTGATGGTTAGGCAAACTTTGCCAAACCGGGTTAACTACATTTCTCGCCAAAACGTCAAACCGCAACAAACTATAGTTAACCGGGTTAGCGGTTTTCTCGCCAAAAAACCCTTATAGTTTCTGCGGTGCTTCCCTATTTTCTATGTTGGTATATATGCAGAAGCTATATAAATGCCATTTGCTTAAATTATTAGAGCGATTTAAACAAGTGAAACCGATGAAATGTGAAAGTGTGATTTATGCATCATCACTGCCAGTAGTTCCAGGGTTTACTAATTAGTTCCTATTTCTGAGCTTTTTATTGTCAATTAAATGTTTTTACTTGGGACACATAACAAAAATTCAAATTTAAAAATTTATATATTAAAATTAAGGATTTCTATGAGTTAAATGTCAGGTTAATATTTTGACATGAAACTTTTGAAGTCATACCTATTTAAATTTTAATACAATACTAACATTCCATTTTTCAAATTTTATAATAATGTAACTTCCAGAAAAATGAAAATTTTGTGATATGTAAAGTTGATCATGAAAATAATATACAGGATGTCCCATAAGCACATGATTAAAAAGGTACTGCGACATTCTTTGGCTCAAAAGAAGACGATTTGACCTAACTTCCATTAAGAAAAATTGCCTGGCTCTTTTGCTATTGACTGTCAAAGTTCTTGAAAAAAAAATGTTTTTTGTAATATCTGGAGAATGTTGCGATGGATTTTAATGAAACTTACTGTGGACTTGTTCCTACATAAAACTCATGTTTTGTTGAAGAACCGCGTCCATCTGCTTTGGATTAGTGGTAAATTCTTGAGTGTCTTGGTACAAGATCTACCAGAACTTTTTATTTGGTCGCTGGAATCAATTTATTTTAGTTTTATTGATGCATCAGTCCTTTTTCGAGATTTTCGTGCTCTTGGTAAAATCTTGTAGCATTCATAGTTTTTACTCAAAGATATGTTTTCAATTTTAGACAATCATTATCCCTACTACTCAAGTACAACAAATACTCACTACTATCGTAGTATCTTGGTAAAATCTTGTAGCATTCATAGTTTTTACGCAAAAAAATGTTTTCTGTTTCATTGCGACTTAACAATTTTAGATGTATCGCAGTAAATCTGCCCTTTTACAAGAAACGGCTTTCTCTAATAATAATTGCCAGTTCTTTTGCTTAGGATATCAATATTGGAAGTAAAATGGTCGCAATGTTAAAGTCTGTCGCAATGCGACGGATTGAATATAATTTTACTTCATTAGATTTATTTTTTGTTAACACTCAAAAAATGTAAAGATGTACTTAGGAAAGACATAATTCTCTTTATAGTTACACAGATACGATAGATGATGGTGGTTACAAGACATGTTCGAAGAAAATGGGGAGCATATTTTCTTGGATGTATAGCTGGATCCTTCGATTGAAATTGAATAGAGCCCTCCTCAACATTTTTTAATCATTCCGTATTACATCCGCCTCGTTTTGAATCCTACGCAATAATTCTTCCTGGGATTCCACAGGAGTAGCGTAAACTTTATTCTTCAAGGCTTCCCATAGAAAAAAATCTAACAGCGTTAAGTCGGGGGACCTGGGGGGCCATTCGACAGGAACATCTCTCCCTCTTCTTCCGATCCACTTGTGTGGAAAAGTATTATTTAAATGTGCAGTTACATTTGCAGTAAAGTGCGTAGAAGCACCATTAGAACCGGAAAGGTATTCGTCAGAAAATTGAAATAATTTTCGCTATCCAAGCGGCGCGGCAATATAAGGACCCAGAAGGATGTCACTGATGATCCCGGCCCAAACATTTTATTGGAAATTCCACCTGAAAGTGGTTAATACGCCTCGCATGAAGGATTTCTTCTGCGTAATGATAAATAAAATTTGGTGAAATTTGGATCACGTGCCCGCGCTCCTTAAATAAAGGGGCAAAATTGAAATCTCTCAAAATGGTGTGGTAAAAGCTCCTGAATAGACGTCGCATATTAAGGATAGAGGAGCTGCTGTCTTATGATGCAATTAATTGCACTTTTTGGTACGCCAAGTTCCACTGTCAGACGGCGAGTACTGATATTTGGATCTCCAGCGACCCTATTTAAAACGTCTCCCTCAATGGCTGCATTTCTTCTTGAGGACTAGCCACACGGTCAATAGCTCGAACACCAAATTGCCCAGTCTCCCTCAAATTATTTTCAATCCATGTAAATTCGTAATCTGGAACCCGTCGATTTGGGTATCGCGTCGCATAGACGCGTACACTCCTACCCAAGTTGTCTTCGCAAACTTTGATCAGTCGGTCATCTCTTCTTTAGAAAACGCCATTCGAAACCGATTTGATTGATAATTCATTTAATATAAAATAACATCATCACTTACTACGATAGTAGTAATTGTAGTGAGTAGTTGTACTTACTTGAGTAATAGTGATAATGATTGTCTAAAATTAAAAAAAAAATGCGTAAAAACTATGAATGTTACAAGATTTTACCAAGAGCACGAAAATCTCGAAAAAGGACTGATGCATCAATAAAAAATAATATGAATTAATTCCAGCAACCAAATAAAAAGTTCTGGTAATAATTCTTGTACCAAGACACTCAAGAATTTACCACTAGCCCAAGGCAGATGGACGCGGTTGCTTCATCAAAACATGAGTTTTACCTAGGAACAAGTCCACAGTAAGTTTCATTAAAATCCATCGTAACATTCTCCAGATATTACTAAAATCGTCTTCTTTTGAGCCAAAGAATGTCGCAGTACTTTTTTGATCATGTGCTTATGGTACACCCTGTATGCGCAATATCGTAATGCTTTTCAAAATCTCGGAGTTAGTAGGCAACGCCTATTTTTATATTTCATAAATTTCATTTGACATTTTTTTACTGTGAAAGTTCTCTGTGTCCTAGAAATCGTCTGTGTCTCATTAGCAACACGGCCATTTTAATTTTCACTAGCCTCCATTAATATACCTATTTCAGATCCTGAAAACATATCAAAAATGTTTGTCAGAAAAAAAAATACCCTATTTCTGGAATAAAAAATATAACCTTTTGGAATCGGTGAGTGGTGATTTGAATAATATGAGCAACAGACTGAAATATATTATTGATGACATCGACAGAAATGTATCACAGAATCCAGCTGTGGTGCTGAAATATGTTTGTAAGTATGAATCATAATGCCTCTAATGTTACATTCTAAAAAATCCATAACTTTGTATACAAATCGCATCAGATATTTTAATCAAGGGGCATTTGTGTTGTAACACCCAATGTTGAATTTATTATGTACCCACAATAAGAGTGTATTCTTGTGGTGTTCTTAGTAGAGTGACTTAAATGTTCTGAAGTTAACGAGCAATATTGTTACTTTGTGTTTGCCATCAGAAAAACATTGTTTTCATACTTCTATAGCAGAGTGGCAATGGACCAAAAACAGACTGTTTTCAATAGACCTGCATATTTCAACTGTACAATGAAAATCCCTTCTAGTAGTAAATGCTGTGATAAACAGTTATAACCAGCGGTATGGGACAGATGTAAAAGGGTTGTAAAATTTTAATTTCTAATTTAGGTGTGTATGACAATTCGATATGATTTTCAAATAATCATTTGTATTAAGGTAAAATGACAATAATAAAAATATCTACGTGATTACTGAAGAATGATCTACAGATTGCACACTCTTGAATTCTGAACAATAAATTGCTGACAAGAAACTTGCAGGAGTCATTTAATTATGCAAAATTTTGACAATGAGGTGCCGCTTCTAATTAAAGGGAAATTGATTACAACATTGTTTATATTGTTGATAACTTTTAAAGCAGAGTAAATATCATACTAACGATTCTGCAAAGTTGAAAACCAGATCTTTTATTTCCCATGTTCTTTCATAGATGGCACTAATTTCGACTATTTGACATTCACGTCAACTGTAATCGGGTAATAAAAAATTAATTGACTCCTAGTGGATAGTAGATGTTCCTTGCAACATCGGACATGATTAGATTTTAGTTATCACACGGTCAAATAAATTTAAAATTACTTTAAAACTATTCTAAAACTAAACAAAATGTATAGTTTTTGTTGGAAATAAAACATTAAATGCAGTGTAACAATTAGAAGTATAAAAAACTCATTAGCATTAAAATTTTTGGGAACCTATTCCTCAGATAATTATAGATTTGTACGAAAATGATTTTCTTGGACTTAAAATAACACTGCATTAAAAACATTTGTAAAAAAAATTCCTGCAATTTGGGGGTTTTTAGTGATTGCATGTTCCAGTATCTACACCGATATCTACTTATTTGTATATGATTCAAGTTATACCTTTAATTAGTAGTAATTGTATATGATTCAAGTTATACCATTAGTTCGAAGTTTCATCAGTTTAGACCAAACATTAGAGATATTTGAATAAACATTCTATTTGACTAAAGTTCAACATCCTGTGTTTTAAAAACAAGAGGCTTTAGACCCTTGATTTGCTAAAGCTTTTTGGTTTAAAATATTCAAAGAATAACTGTCTCTGATACAACTAAATGCATGAGCAAAGTAAGCGACAAACATACATTTAATTGATAAATTTATTTGACAGTTGGAAAAACTTGCCCTAAATCCATCATTTTTGTTAGTCTATGCCTTAAACATCACCAATTAGTGATGTGAGAATACTTCCTACTGCTTTATTCATATTTTCAGTAACACCCGATGAACAGAAAGCACTATTTCCTGAAGTACCTATTGAGGAGTCAAGCTGGTGTTCATTACTATAGTATGTATTAACCAATTAAGTACTCATTTTTATTAGACTTTTTTATGCATATTCATCAACATAAATTTATTACCTATAATGTAAAATATATTAGTACTAACTATTCAATTTTTAAAATATATTGTACATTTTTCATTGAGAAAAATAAATCTTATAATAAACCAAAGAAAATTTTGTATTAATAAACCATAATTTAAATAGCAGTCTCTCCAGGCATGTTTTTTTTATTTTCAATATTGTCTATTGTCCACTTTTCAGTTTTTTGTGCTTATTGATCTGTGACTTAAAAGTGAGAATGAACTACAAAAGAATCAGTTTTTTTTTAAACGTAAACTGTGTAATGTACTCTATTATTGCCCTGAGGAATTATCTTTCTCAGTAAGATCGAGCAAAACGGACCCCGCACAAAACCAGTGGAAAAAGACTTTTCGCCAAATTGCTTGAAACTGTAGGATCAAATAGGTGATATGATGTAGATCAAAAGTCTCCATGAGCCCGACCACCGCCTGTGCATGGTTTCGGTTTTAAGCTGAAAGTCGCTCAATATAGCCAAATCTGCACTTAACATTACCCATAGTCAACAGCGTGTACATGGCAAATGCTTGACCCCATGTGGGTGTGTTAAATGTAATGTTTCAATATCCAAGTAGCACAATCCTTGATTATGTGATTCGCCCCAGAGAACATTGGATTTGAGGCTATTGCCCGAGAAGATTATGTAGAAAGACACGTACGTGACTTCATTTGCGAATCTTTTGAATAATCCTACACCACAGGAACTAAAAGCAGTCGCCTATATTGACTGCACTTACACAGATTTTGAGAAGAGCTCTTGTTTTAAAGCCCTAATACAATCACTGTGTCCACAAACGTAAACGTTTGGTAAAGATCATCATCATGATCAGCGATATTTAATTTGAGCTAAATCTAACATATCTAAAAAAGTTGCAAATCTCGTTTCAGCCTAAAGTGCACTTTACCTCGTACAATTCGTTTCTTTAACTGTTGTTTAGTTAGTTTTGGTACCGTATAAAACAAATTTTTCACAATATCACAAGAATTAAAGTCCCATGATGACTAAATTGATGTCGCGTATCGAAAATTAAAATCTTACGATAGTGAAAAAAATAGATTAAAACGCTGGTTTATCTAAAAAAAAAATATTCGGAAAGCATATTAAAAAAAAATAAGGAGTCAATGGGTACTCCACCCCCCCTCCCCAATGTTCGCACTTTGATATTTTAAACCAAAATTACACAAAAAGTGTGCCGACTTAAGATCAAAATATGTGCTAAATTTCAAATAAATACCTCTAGAATCACCGAAGTTATCAATAAAAATCATTTTTTAAATTTTAATTTTGACACCCTGTATTTTGAAGATGGGGGCTGTGAAATGAAAAGTGGCATAAGAAAAATCCCATTATTTTAGTCCAAATATGTGGTTAACTGCTTGACCTACTAATTTGTAACACCCTGTATAGAAATATTTCAAATTGAAGGTTATTACACTTAAAATAATCACTCCTTGGATTCCCAGGCTAAGAAGCATGAGTAACTGAATAAAGCCTAACTTTCAATCTATTGTCGTACAATGTTATCATTTTAGTCGAACATCAACATTAATTAACTCGGGTTCAACCAAACAAAATTTAAATTCTCGTATTTAACAAAACAAAAATAGTTATAGTCTTTCCGATATCAAGAACCAAGAGGATGACAGTATGTACCAGGTTCGGTCACTGACGCAGCAACCCAGCATTGAAATATTTGAAAAACTTGTTCCTATATTTATTTAGCCATACCCATATACAGGTCTGGTGGAACTAAACGTGGAGGCGGTAGAACGCCCAGTTGAAGAATGCAAGCGCGGGTAAACGAAATGCAAATACAGTTGCATTGGGCTACTGGGCAATAAATCTCAGTCATTGACAAGTGATCAACAAATTGCCCAGCAGTGCAGTGCAGCAATGCGGAATTTGGTATGATTCAGGTAATTTTAATTTATTATAGGTACCTTCAATTAATCATTGATATTACGATTGCGGACGGGAGAAATAATATTACAGCATGGCATTTTGGAGACCTTTTGAAACGGAACAAAACGAAATTTACCATCAATATAATAAAATTGTTTGAGGACATAAATAATTAAAATATGTTGTTGGCCAAATGAACATATAATAGAAATTTTCTGCAGATTATATATAAATTATTATAATTTTTTACCTTTATCAGAAAACTTTTTTAGGGACGCCCATGAAACTCATTAAATTTTATTGCTAGGCGTTTTTTTACATATTCAACTGACTTCAGAAAGACTATATACAGCTAGTTTAACATAAATTTAAAAAATTTGTGTGAAGAGATCTCTTCATTTAACTTGAAGTAAAGAGAAATTATAAGGTGTATAAAAGACCTTTGAAAATTTTGCTCTTTATTATCGTGTGACAATAAAACAAATTCCCAAGTTTTTGCAGTTTATTAAAAGTTTATAATACTCATCAGTCATTTATTTATTGTGCCAAAATAAATAATTACATAACTTTTAAACTAATACTCTACAAAATGTATTTAGGTACATATCAAATAATTCTGAGACCAAAACATGATGATTAGGTCAAATATACCGGAATCCAAAGTTGCTACATTTGTGACAGGACGTTTAAGTTGAAATTAAAGAAAATATTTTTATCACTGTTAAATCAATAAACATAAAATGTAGTTCCAGTGAGGTAATGTTATCATGACCAGGCCTCGTTTTAAAGTAGAAAAATGTTATGCCAATGGCTAAAATTACATATAGGAATATTTTATGCCTATTTTCAATTCTTTAATTAATTAATTAATTCAATAAGTGGAAGTGACATTATTCCAGACAATATTTACAGCAACGCTAGGTTTTCCTAAAGAAGGTCGTTATTTTTATTTTTTTGGTAAATTTATTGCATAATCTATCTATATTGCATGTAATTTGGTCCGTAACATAACGTTCCTTCTTTTGAAAATTTTGAAAAGAGATCTGGTTTTCATAGTTACAGAAAAAATATTTCCTTTGAGGGGCAAAGCCACTCTTGAATTTTGAAAAAAATCATTATTAGATAAGCGGTTTAAACAATGCTTTATGTAAAGAATATAGAAAAAAGCTTTGGGTGGTAACACGAGTTTCTTGAGGTGGATTGCAACCATTCTCAGCAAGCTGCAGGAGTGCTTATTGTAATTCGTAAGAACGTGTACATTAGCTAACTATTGTAGATGCCAGATTCAGTTTCAAATCGAGCAGAAAAGAGGATAAAGGAAATATCAATATACAGGGTGTCTCGAAATTCATGCAACAAAATTTGGTCATAGATTCTTAAGACAAATTTAGGAGACCCGTATTTTTTCTTTTTGCCAACTGGCCCCCTCTTTCGGAGTTACAGCCCCCTGAAATCTGCCCCTAAGAAGTCTTTTTTATGTCTCAAAACCATGTTGTATGAGAATCACTAAATTTGGTACACAGGGGTTATGACATGTGGAATCTCACAGTGATACGCTTTTTGGCGAAAAACCCCCTTAAGACACATTTTCGTGGGCCTCCTTGTCTTTGGAACCAGAAAAATTTGGTAGCAAATTTGATTTTTTTTTTATTATTAGTTAGCTAGAAAACCATTGAATTTAGATACTTTTTTATCTCTTGATATTTGTTTCGTAAAACGCGTTTTTGAGGAAAATGGCAAATCACGATATGCCTTCAATCACATTTTGACATTTTTCTCGAAAACATTGCATTTTACGAAAAAATTATAAAGAGACAAATAGTTTCTAAATTTAATGGCTTTCTAGTGGACTGATAATTTTTAAGAAATTTAAATATGTAACCAAATTTTTTTAGCTCCAAAGGAGCCCACGAAAAATTGTCTTAAGGGTGTTCCCCGCCAAAAAACGTAGCGTCATCAGATTTCACATGTCATAAAACCCCTGTGTACCAAATTTAGTAATTCTCGTACAACAGGGTTCTGAGATATAAAAAAAGATTATTCTTAGGGGTAGAATTCAGGGGGCTGTAACTCCGAAAGAGGGGGCCACTTGGCAAAAATAAAAAATATGGGTCCCCTAAATTTGTCCTAAGAATCTGTAACCAAATTTTGTTGCATGAAATTTGGGACACACTGTAGAAGGCCAATTATACGGTGACAAGCATTGCTGATTGAAAGTATACATATTATAATGAATTTCTTATGCTGAATGGCAACAACTTTTTGAAGAATCCATTTTTTTTAATTGGCCAGAAACGTAACTCAAAAAGTTTTCAACGAATCGACTTGGAATTTTGTACAAAGCTTCACAATAACATAATGCAGGGAACATTGTAGGGGTTTTTTGACTGATTAACAATTTTTCATTGTTATTAACAATTTAATGAAAAATTTTTTGTCTTCAATAATTTTTTTGAATGTTCACTAAATCAACAATTATTAATATTTCTTAATTTCCCTACGATGATCTCTAGCTTTTAGTACGAAACCTTTCCAGCCATACAGTTCTCTGAAAAAAAAAAGATGACGTTGCGTGCCATCACTTACAGCCGCCATTTTAAATCCAAATCGTTTGAAAAAATTCACAATACTACCTGAAAAGATGTACAATAAAGCCTTTTTGTTCCTGACACTATATCTAGTATAGATTTTTTCTTGAAAATTCCCAAAAATCACCTTTTTTCCAGCCTGTAGTGTGGCATTACCCCATATAGTCCAAGCATTCTGTCACGGATTAACGTTAAATTTGCAGAAATTATTACCTGGACAAAAAAAATATGACCGTATAGAAAATTAAATTTTAAATTGAGTTTCTTGTTCTTTAAACTCGATCCAATATGGCGAACATGGTTAAAAAAAATCGCAAAGTTGAAAAAAACGGTTTTTCTAAAATAACTAAAAAAATATAGCACGGATTGAAAAATTTTAAATGAGAAAGTTGTAGGTTTTAAAAAGATCTATCGACTGATTTTTTGAAAGTATCGATTGCTTTGTTACTTTTCGAGATATATCGAAAAAACCGTTAAAAATCTTCTCTTTTCTCTTCTTCTATAACTCGTTTACATTTACGTGCCCATATTTGCTATTTACTGCAAGCATAGCCCGCGGCAAGCCAAAAAAGTACATTTTTGAAAAATTT